TGCTGAAGCGGAGCCGTATTCACTACGTGACCAGTGACTCCAGTGAGCGCACAGAGCAGGTGAACGCTGTATCAGGAGGAAATCAAAGCTCTCGAAGTTTTCATAATCGAACGCCAATAAGCCTGCACCGACCACATTTTTTTAATAAACGAACTGTAAATTCAAGCTCGGAGAAACTCAGATCAAGATACCGAACGCATGGTATGTTCTACTCAAGGATAATACACACTACTACTACATGATAGCCTATCCTCACAAGGCCTGTGTGGAACAAATCTGAAGCCATCCACCACGCCAAATCACCAGTGGTGACGTAGTAGCATGCCCTTTCTCGCCTTGATGTAGGCTGTTTGCACCACAGGTTATGATTCCGCGGGCTTTTGCTTCATGCATACTTGGCTATGGCTTTACTAGGTATTATACCTCAATACAGGGTGTCCTAGCCGAGAGTGACCCATTTTAAATGCTTATAACTTTAAAACCAGTTGTGCTAGCTACTTGCGGTTTGAGCCATTCGATTTATCTTGACCTAAAGTTTTGTTGTAGTAGGTAGAATTTTTTTTTTCCACTTATACATGCGAGTAAAAAAAAAGTCAACATCGAAATTCTCCACTATTTTTAATGGAACACTCTGTGTATCACAACGTTAAAAAAAACCGTCATAATATTATTTCAATGTAGCTTTAATAGTTTCGAAGCTGCAAAATTGCGTGACTTAAATTTCTATCAAAATAAGATAATTTGTGTCATAACTTTGTTAATTTTGATCCGAACTTGATGTAATTAGGCATAAATTGAAGCCAATCAAATTATCTACAAATCTCCTGTGGATTATTTCAATGTAGCTTCAATAGTTTCGCAGCTGCAAAATTGTGTGACTTGGATTTCTATCAAAATAAGACAATTTGTGTCATAACTTTGTTAATTTCGATCCGATCTTGATGTAATTAGGCTTCAATTGAAGCCAATCAAATTCTCTACAAATCTCTTGCAGAATATTTCAATGTAGCTTCAATAGTTTCGCAGCTGCAAAATTGTGTGACTTGATTTCTATCAAAATTACACATTTTGTGTCATAACTTTATTAATTTTGATACGATCTTGATGTGATTAGGCTTAAATTGAAGCCAATCAAATTCTCTACAAATCTCCTGTGGATTATTTCAATGTAGCTTCAATAGTTTTGCAGATGCAAAGTTGTGTGACTAATGGCCGTTTGCACCAACCATTTTGAGCAAGCCTTATCCTCAATCAATCTGGTAGCGAAGTGGCACTTCGGCACGCGTGCTGGGAAATTAATACCCATCCTCAATGCTGTCAATTTTCAGTCTGCTGTGCGTGTAGTACGGTCACGAACCGTGCGTTCGGTATTTTGATCTGAGTTCTCCGAGCATAAATTTACCGTTCGTTTATATAAAAAGTGTACTCGGTGCAGGCTCATTCACGTTCCTTTATTGAAATTTTGAGCCCTCTGATACAGCGTTTAACTGCTCTATGTGCTCACTGGTCACGTGATTACAGCTCCGCTCTGCACGCTTTGCTCTTTGAGCAAAATACCGAACGCAAGGATAACCTGAACCATAGATTTAATATCTACTAACGTGACAAGATAGGTAGCGCCCTATCTAAAAGCATTGGACCAAGGTGGCACAAACATTTGTTAAAAATCTCTACGTATTCTCAAGTAATACGTAGAGGTATTTTATTAGAAGCAGAGGTTCCCATAGGCGTACTCATAAAAAAATCATTTTTTTCAAATATATATTTGATTCCAGAAATAGGTAGTTTTGAAAATGATAAATTTGAGCATTAAAACTGTAAGCAAACTGGACTGTTTCCAAAAAAAATATACATGAGATGGAATGAAAACAATAGAGGTCTGTTCCTACAGAAATCACAAACCAGTCAGAGCGAATTTCATTGGTTGAAAACAGTTAGAAAACTAGTTTCAACCAATGAAATTCATTCTGACTGGTTTGTGATTTCGGCAGAAACAGACCTACCTACTAATATTTCGTTAAATTATTTTTTTTTTTTTCATTTTTTGGGGATTTTTATCAAAAAAGGGTAGCTCTGTAATAATTTAACAACAATGCCAAAAAAAAAACAATGTTTATTTAGAATATTAATAATAATATTATAGTTTATAGAAAGTCAATTCGAATAGCATAAAAACTGTGTAGGCGGCATCTTCTTATGAAATTAAGCATATGCGTGCAACAGCCCAGAAATTCTTGAGAACAAAGAATTCTAATTCCTAGGCTGTTGCACGCATATGCTATATGCTCAATTTCATAAGAAGTGCCGCCTACACAGTTTTTATGCTATTCGGATTGACTTCATATAAACTATACACGAGTTGAGGTATCTACTGATAACAAAAATATACTTGAAGCAAACTGATCAATAATGCAAATACTGAAAATATAATGCACTGAACTTTCAAGCGAATATCTTAGTACTATGAGTACCTATATTCTTAAAGTCGACTATATCATCAGAATGATATATTGTCACCATTAAGGACGCCGTGTATGATTCAAACGTAGTACTAACCACTGTTTAGTAGTCAAAGTAGACGCAGACCAAACCACTAGTTGGCCAACCAATAATTTGGATCATTTGTTGTCATTCTATAAATTTGTTGATAAATTAATCCAAATGAAAATTAATTTCTTGCTCCTGAGAAGTTCCAAATTGAGCCGAACTTCATCTTTATTTGAAAGTTGGCAAACTTTTAGTTTTATTCAATTGGATGATGGACATAACACCATTAATGAAGATAATTTCAGTACATTTAATTCCTAATTGAGAGGTCCAAACAAATCACGAATATAGATTCATCTAAAATCAAAATTAATTATTTTTTTTCACATAAACCTATGAATGAGTACCTCGACAAGTACCCCTAACCTGGGCAGTACTTGAGAAGCGCTGGTGCTTGGAATAACAGGAACAGCAGAGGCTTTTAAAATTTTAGCACCAGTTTTTGAAAATCTATAGTCTTCACTGTACAAACATACGTCCATTTGCTTACTGAGCTGGATTTTAAATTAAATGCTCCTAACCATCTTCTTTTCATATCATAAATTATCCGGAATACTAAAAATAATGTTTTTTTACTACTAACCTGAGAAATAGTCATTATTCAATCTATTTTTCTAGGAAAAAATTGAATTTCTCTCCCTAGGTTAATAATGAAAATAATGAAAAAATACCTAGGTTAATAATGAAAATGACGTCATGACGCAAGGATATTGTCATGTTTCTATTGGTTCAATTTCAATTTCATACGTCAATTTGAAAAAAAAAATACAGGTTTCTGTAGGTACATAGGAAGTTATATAAGCTGTTGATAGAGGGCATCACTTTCAAGAGGGCGTTCACAAAAAATAATTAGAACACAGATTTTAAACAAATTTTTTATTTTCTACTAGCAGTAGTAAAAAAAATTCTATATATTCCTCGGTAGAGAAAGTCATTATATACCTCAAGCATTATAAACCTCGGCGCTGCGCGCCTCGGTTTATAAAAGCTTTCGGTATATAATGACCAACTTCTCTACCTAGGTATATAATATACTATTATTAGAAATACAAAAATTAAAATATGTACTATGTTGTATTTTTGTGGCCTACATGCACCTCCGACACTGGGTTTTTTTCCCTTCAATCATGTCCATGTCATAAGTTTTGTTTACTAACCGGTGAAATGATAAACAATCCTCTGGTTTTCCTCTTTTCTGACAAACTGCACACTTATTAGTCATTTTGAATCCTGAATAAGAAACTTGCACGAAATGTTTAAACATGTAAATAATAATTTTTTAAACAATTCCACTTGAGGCAATCGGTTTCCATTGGGAACCATATATACTCTGTTTAGCTAGACTTGTATAGTGTTCTTTTCGTTTACATAGGTATTGCCTTAGAGTGAGAAGTCTAAAGATCCAAAATGTAAACGGATTTTTGGAAATCGTACTATAGAAAACCAGCGCAAACAAAGTAAGAGACAAAATCAAAATATTTGGAGAGAGATCTTTGTACCATATTTGGAAGTTGATTACTCATCTTTTAGTGTTAACTATATATAATCTAAGACCTGAACCATTTTTTACCGTACTCCGCATGACAGAAGTCGGCACGCATCAGAAAAGCTTGCAGCTTGCAAGCTTGCACTTCAGTGTCGGCGTGCATGCTAGCACGGAATTGAATTGAGGATGCCAACGTTAAACAACATTATCCTAGCATGCGTGCCGAAGTTCCACTTCGCTACCAAAGGACCCCGCACACCTCTTATGGGTTTTTGGTTTTCTGTCAAACTCAATGAAATTTTGATATGTGTTAGACCTTGACTCCCCGATAAAAAGTTCTCATGGGCCCGAACCAATCCTATCATTAGTTTTTGAGATACAAGTACTTTAATGTCCAAGAAATGTACACATTTTATATGTATTCACATCTACCTGTCACCTAATAATAGGTCTGTTTCTGCGGTAAAGTAACTTTACCGCATAGTGTGCAGTAAAATGCTAGTTTTTGCACGCTTTTAGGTGAAAATTTTGTTGCTACCCCGCCCTGATTATATTCTACCCCGCTATCTTGCCGTAACCTGCCCCAATAAAGAAAGAGCTTGTGGCAACACTGCTTTTCGAAAGGAATAAGCGCGTAACGCCCCGGAGCTGTTCCGGAGCTCCTCATGTGGGTTCGGCTTGCTCACTCCGTGCACTTCGAGTGACTCCATTCGCACTCCAGCACGAGCTCGTCGGAGTCACTCCAAAACAGACAATTCAGATTTTATCATCATTTTTTAATAAACATTACCATCTGTACCTAAAAGGGGGATGTACTATGAGCGTCTCGAGTTCGAGTGCTTAACGCACTTTTAAAAGGAACGTTCAAGCTTTTGACATTATGCAGCTCCGAGTACTCAACGGGTGAAAGGAATACAGTCACTGTAGCAACGGTCGACATTTGCATGAAGTTTGCTAGAAACAACATTAACCCTACTTTTTCTTTATGCCTTTTTTTTGCAAAATCAAAACAAAACAAATAATTAATCTTATTAATAAATTATCCAATATTATATTCAATAATTTTATAATTGAATTCAAAATGCAACAAAGGGAAGAAAAACAATTGGAAACCTCGTTGGAGTCGATAGTGCAAAGGGTCAACGATTTAAAGGCCTCTTTGGCTTCCATGATATTCAAAGTAGAAAACGAATATGAAAGTCTGAATTGGCCTAAATTTCTGGATAATTACGCCCTGGTGTCTGGACAGGTGACTATAACTTTGCTCTTTTAAATTAAGAAATAAAATAAATTAAAAATTGAACTAAATTAAGAATTTTCAACTTCAATGCCTGCTAGAATTAAATTAATTTTTTGATTGAGAAAGGTTTTAGGATCCTTTATCTACGTCAGTGAGATACACAACTCCACAACTCGTGCTACGCACTTGTGCAACTTCCACACTAATCCACTCAGCATCTTAAACTCTATCTCAAGTACCTATGCTGTTAACTCACTCGTATCTTAAATATCTATTATTTAGGTAGCTCTGTTACTCGGGCACCCCCACCAACAAAATTTCGAAAAATCAATGCATGGTTCGTTTGCCCATCGTATACGTCCCGTATTCTCTGATATACTTATCTATTTTTTATTTTTAAAAAGAATCAGATAGATCGACCATAAAGAGTAATTGTGACTTAAAAAAAAACTCAAGATCCTGTATTTCCTTATAGACCCTGAGATAGGGCCTGTTTAGTGGAGTCATTTTTTTTTTGTCTAGCATTTTGAGGGCTGAATGTGGCTAGTTAGCTGTTGAGAATATAGGTGGTTTCAAAACCTGCTCTCTGTTCGAAATATCCATAGAATGTTTTGCGAATTTGCTCGATTTCGAACTGTGATTACAGTCTGGCGATTTTTTAACGTTATTTTCACAACAAAACCTTTTATTCTCTCGATTGCCAGACAAAAAGTAACCGTGGAAGGTTCTTTTCTCTTTTTCAGCTATTGGAAAGCATCTTATTTTTTATTGGCGAATTATTTTTCAATGTCAATCTTTAATTTAAAAACTAATAAAAACCACAACATTCGAAATCATTAAAAAAAAAAAATCTTCATGTAAATCAAATTTTTTCTTCTCCAAATTTCCGAATGGGTGGCACGCATTAAAATCACCCATATTCTCATTAGCTAACTAGCCACATTTATCCCTCAAAATGTCAGACAAAAAAAATTACATCACTAAACAGTCTCCATCTCACAGTCTATTACCTCCGCTTTATTGGCAGCGCTGTTTTCAGGCCTCCACTATGTTATTCTAGATTTTGATGTTTAAATTAAAGATGGTTTATGTTGTTACTTAGGTAGGTATGTTACCTACCTACCTAAATAGAATCGCCGGAGTACAACTACTGGACATTAACGTGAAAAACCAAAAAATCGGGCGTGGTTTTTAAAAAAATGTTGCTTTTTTTATATGTATGTAGACCTCTGCTTCATGAAAGTGTCCCGATTTTTTATGAAAACAGAAAAAAATATGGTAGCCTTCACTGGCACCCTCAATGGTGTAGCACCCAAAAAAATTTCAAAATGTGTCCTATATTTCAATAACCGAAAGTTGGCAACCCTAGCGTGAGCTCCGTCAAGCCACGCAGCAGACCACGAGCCGTTGATTGAGTTGAGTTGAGTTACTGATTGAGAAGCTCTACCCCCCTACCCCCCCCCCCCCCAGGATGGTGCTCTAGATCCGCCACTGCTTGATGCTTTTAGGAAATACAGGGCACTTTTCAAGTTTTGTTGTTTAAAAGACTCTCTAATTTCCTTATTATTCAAGATATCCAAAAACGAAAAATACTTTCTAGAGGCAGTTTTTCAAGTAGAATCCAGTGGCATGACCAATTTTTTTCCAGATGCCACCGATTTTGGAATATTGACCAAAATTGTGTTTTTTTTAAATGGGTATATTATTTTTATATTGAATAGCTCTTTGTGAGCTGATTTCAATAATATAAGGTTTTATACCTTTACCTTCAATAGTTTTGGAAAAAAAAAAAATCCGTTTTTTCCATAAGAAACAATGAGTTAGAAAGATAGTTGAACTATGAATCACCTACAAATTTCTTAATTCCTAATTTAATTTTTCAGCTCAGCTATTTTTTTTTTAATTTGAACTATGAATCGGGGGTGATAAATAGGCAACACATAATTTATTTAATGACTTATCTCTCTCTAGCTCATTGTTTCTTATGGAAAAACGGAATTAATTTTTTTTCTCCAAAACTATAGAAGGTAAGGGTATAAAACTTTATATCATTGAAATCAGCTCACAAAGAACTATTCAATAAAAAAATAATATACGGGGTGTCCCATTTAAAAAAACACAACTTTGGTCAATAAGTATTCCAAAATCGGAGGCATCTGGAAAAAAATTGGTCTTGCCACTGGATTCTCCTTGAAAAACTGCCTATAGAAAGTATTTTTCGTTTTTAGATATCTTGATTAATAAAGAAATTAGAAGGTCTTCTAAAATTGTGCAAAATTTGAAAAGTGCCCTGTATTTCCTAAACGCATCAAGTTAGCCGTAATTTGTCTTCGCCATTGTTATTTTCTCAAAAAAAGAGCTCGAGAATGTGCTCCCAGATTTTTGATATCTCTGCTGGTTTTCGATATAGCACCGTGCGGAAAGAAGATAGTTTCCGAATTAAAATGCGTGCGGGAAAGTAGACAAAAACGCACGCTTGTAGAAAATAGCTATTTATACAATAAGTTGCGAAATGAGTGTCTTTTAGGCACTCGACGTGAAAATTGTCCAACGAGGCAAAGCCGTGTTGGACAACACGTCGAGTGGCGAGAAAAGAAAAAAATAAAATAATATATACCCCTAAAAACTAAAATTTCCCTAAGGGAAGTGTCCCCCCGCTGAATGGGGGTGAGTTACAAAAAAAGTTGATAAGGAAAAATTGTAGGAAATGTCATCTTATAAAACTTTTATTAAGAAAATTATTTTGTAAAAAAATAAAAAAACTTTAAACTACCCCTATTGAAAAACGGCAGGGGGTGAGTAAAAACTTCATAAAGCAAAAATGTTGTATGTGTTGTAGAAAAATTTTTCACGTTGGTTAAAATTTTTCATTTCCATTATAAAATTTCAAACGGCCCTTATGACCACAGACAGCCCTTAATCAAAAAAATCTTTAGATAAACATTGTAGATCAAATAATGTTGCACATCTTTTATTTGAAACATTTTTTTGTAAAATCGCGCACTTTCAACCCCTATAGCGCAAAACGCCAGAGGGGTGAATGTTTGATATTTTCGGTTTTATGATCACCCACCCGCCCCCTATTATCCCTGAAAAGTTCATTTGGGTAGGAATTTTTTTTTTGCAATACATGTATTTTTCGACTATTTTCCTAGACTATCTGTATCAATAAACATCTAAAAATATTTTACGACTTTTAAGACGGAGAAATAGAGAAACAAAAAAAATTTATTGATAAAACAATACAAACACTCAAGAAATGAAAATCTCCAAGAAATTGGTCAGAACACTCTGTCTAGATCAGTTCATGAAAATTGATTTATTTTTATCCTCGAAAAATTCGTCAACACTATAGTAGGCACGATTTTCCAGAAGCAACCTAATTTTTCCCTATCATAGATTTAATGCTTTGTTAATAGAATATTTTCTCTTGAATAATAAAGTATGATTGACTATGACTATGACTATGACTCCCATACGCTAGCCGAGAAACACGTTGTGCGGTTCCTTCCCTTTCACCTATACATTTCTCTATCTTCATAATATACACCGGTGCTAGCGCAGTACCGTTTCCCAATGCTTACGCATCAACTCTGTATATTTGTTACTCAGGCTAGTTTGTCTCTTCTCTTTCTTTCCTACGCACAGACTCGTTGCCTATGTTTCCCCTCTCCAAAGACTGAGCGTTAAACGGACCACTCTTTCTCTCCTATGCAGAGGCTCAATAGGCTACTTGTCTTAGACCCCTTTCCCCAAAAGCGTTGCATTTTTTGAGCGTTACACGTCTGAACTCCTATAAGAAGTTTTCCGAGAAGTTTTACACTTCAAAAATAAAATTTTACCTACCATTTTAATTTTTAGTTTAATTTGATCATTACACTATAAAACTCACTATCGAATTAATTTGTTTTTAGTTGATTTCCCTATCAAAAGTTCTGAGCCACGAGAAATGTCCGAACCTGCGCAACCTCACGGTTCTGCCTCTGATGCTCTCTCCTGAACGAGACGAGCAGCTAATCCAAACCACCGAGGGTCGGATATCGACGTTCTCCCACGATTTGGTGCCCGACTACTTGAGAACGAAGCTGGAGCCTCTAGCGGAACAAAAAATGATCCAGTTGGAGCACAAGGCTCAGAACCTGCAGTACGATAATGCTCAGAAACAGATCGCCGCCTATCAGAAGGTAATAAATAATCAATTTCAGTTTACCCATTTTTTTAATATTTTTTTCATAAAATCTATTTATTGTTACGAAAATGCCTCGACAGTGCCGCCCTTCTACGAATTCAGTTGTTCACGTTTCGCTGCCATCCTTTCTAGGAATTCTACCATATTTGAAAGAAATATTTTTCTAGGTAGATCCGGAGTAGGATGTCGACTATCAAAGTGCGAAGTAAAGTTTGAGGTTGATTTTACCTTCACAGGTATAGATGATAGAGGTGTATTAGGGCAGCATGGTTTTACCTCTGGTCGTTCTGTTGATACCAACCTGTTTTTATATACCAACTTTATTTCTACTGCTATGGTGGAAGGTGCTGAGGTTCATGCCATTTATATGGACTTCAGCAAAGCTTTTGATAGAGTGAGCCATGCTGTTTTGATATCAAAATTGAGAAAGTATGGTATTGCTGGGTCATTATTGGAATGGATGGAATCTTATTTATCGAATCGGTACCAACAAGTAAGGATAGAAGGTTATCTGTCTAATATATTTTTTGTCACATCAGGGGTTCCACAAGGGTCACATTTAGGTCCCCCTTTGTTTAATATCTTTATAAATGACATTTGTTCTTTCTTGGAAGTGCATATTTATTATTTGCTGATGACCTAAAAATATATGCCAGGATTCTGTCACAACAAGATCAAGTTAAAATCCAGAATGATCTTAACAGGATAAACAGATGGTGTACTCTTAATAGCATGACTCTAAACACAGAAAAGTGTCAAGTTTTGCGGTTTAGTAGGCTTAAAAATAACTTCCCTATGACTTACATGTTAGGTGGTAGTCTGTTAAAGGAGGTCTCTGTTGTGAAGGACCTGGGTGTGTATCTAGACACAAAATTAACATTTTCTGAGCACTATGAAAAAGTCATAGCCCGTGCGGGTAGAATGTTGGGATTTGTTAAAAGATCTTGTCAGGATTTTACAAATGTAAAGACACTTAAAATTCTTTTTGTTAGCTTTGTGAGATCTATTCTCGAGTTTTCTAACATAATTTGGTCACCATTTTTTAATATATACATAGATCGCCTTGAGAGCATTCAGCGTAAGTTTATTAAATTTGTACGTTACAAACTGAGTAGAAAGGGTATTTTTTTATCAGTGGAAGATACATATAAGTATTTGCAATTGAATTTTCTTAGGGACAGAAGGGAGTATTATGATGTATGTTTTGCATTTAATGTTATCAATAATTATATTTGTAGCCCAGAATGTCTTTCAGTAATAAAATTTCATGTTCCTGGTTACATAACTCGTAATGCTCCACTATTACAAGTCCCACCGAGTCGTACTCTGTATTTTATGTATAATCCAGTAAACCGTATTAGCAGAAATGTAAATAAATTTTGCCATCAACTTGACTTCTTTACTGTTTCAAAAGATAGATTTAAGACTTCTGCCAAGAAGGCAATTTTAGGTTAAGAAATATTTGTATTTAATCTTGTAAATGTGAATGCGTAAATAAATAAATAAATAAATAAATAAATAATTATCAATAGTAATATACCGAGTGCAATGGAAATTATTGATAATTTTTGGGAAATTTGCCCGAATGCATTTTTCAGTTAACAACCCGTATTCTAACCTCACAAAAATTTCAAAATGCCGGCTGGTTGGCAAAAGTCACGTGGTTTGGATTCCCTAATTCACAGTCCGATGTCCACAGGTACAGGTAAAATTTATTACCTTTCAATGCTATTTGATAGGGAAAGGTGATAAATTTACTTGTATCTTACATCGGACTGTGAATAGGATTTTTTTTATAAAGTTGTGCAGTTTAAGCTAAATTTTTTGAAGTCCATCGTCAGAAAAAAAAAAAAATCCAGAAATTTGAAATTTTGCGTAGTTTCAACCAGGGTGGATTTGATTTAAATCAAGCCGATTCAAATCATTCAAGCCGATTTAATTTGTTGATTTAAATTTGATTTAAATCAATCACATAAATTGTGATTTACTCGGTGATTTATCACACGCTAGGTTTTCCTGTATATTTTTGCACCCCACCTGCAGCCTTTAGCTTTACAGGTAGATGATAGGTGTAAATACAAAAGTTGTGCAGTTTTAGCTAAATTTTTAGAATCCATCGTCAGAAACAAAAATGTATTGTCAGAAATTTGAAATTTTGCGTACTTTCAACTTTTTTTCAACTAGAATGCCCTATATTTGATTCTATATTCTTGAAGAGCACAATTTTCCGATTTCAAAAATGTATAGTTTCTCTATACATTTTGGTTAAGCAGTGTCCAACATATTTGGCTCTAAAAATTGTAAAAATACTATCCTACTGGCTTAGATTTTGTGAAAAATTCTACACGAGATTCTACATGTCAAGGTGATAACAACAGGTAAAATTTGAGGCACGTTTCTCTGATGGTATTTTTAAAATGTTCACAGCCAATTAGAAAAAGAAATAAAAAAATTTGGAATTGGAAAATTGTGCTCTTCAAGAATATAGAATCAAATATAGGGCATTTCATTTGAGAAATGTTGAAAGTACGCAAAATTAATTATTAATTATTATTATAATTTTGTTTATTTAATTTTTTTAAATTTATTATAAAATTAGGTGTGCGTTATCCTTTGGATAACGCAACCTAATATGGGATTTTTGGGCTCTATGGATTTTGCCTATTTTTTGATTTGTTGTAGAGAATTTAATTCTTAACAACCTTTAAATGGGACGAAATCTTGTAGGTATTATGGTCTTTGAGATATATGTTCATCATCATATTTTACGTCACTAACAAATTAATGATAGCCTAAGGGCCAAATTATGGACTGACTGGTAAACGTCTGGTTATTACCTAGCAGGTACTTTCCATGCACTAGAGAATAGAAAGTACCTGCTAGGTAACAACCAGACACTTACCAGTTGGTCCATAATTTGGCCTCAAGGCAGGCACCGTACCGTCCGTGCTGTCCCGGCTTTAGCCTATGTGGACATTTGTTAGTGACGTAGAATATGTGAACCTGCCAATATTTTGACTGATAAACACCAGTAACACCAGTATTTCGTATACTCTCCACACAAAAAGACGCAAAAAAGTTGATCTTCAACGCTTATATCTCAAAGACCGTAATATCTACAAGATTTCGTCCCATTTAAAAGTTGTCAAGAATTAAATCTTCTACAACATATCAAAAAATGGGCAAAATTCATATAGAGCCCAAAAATCCGATGTTAGGTGTGCATTATCCTTTCTGAAAATAAATTTTCCTACGAGCGTGCGCAAAGTAGTACTTTTCCGCACGCATTTCCGGGCTCAAAGTTACACTTTTCCGCACTCAGTGCGGATACAGGCCTTATCCGCACTGAGTGCCGAAAAGTAATTATAATTGTCAAGCAACAATAAGTGCACCTGTCGACTTTGACACATGATGACAAATTTTTCCTCTATTTCTATATCAGCCAACATCTATACAAACACCAATTATAAATTAACTTTGACACATCAGATTTGTTCTCTATTTATATGCAAAAATCTACAAACTTTCTCATCAAATTTAAACGCTTTAAGATGAACAGCTCTGACGAGGATTTTCTGTTATTTTTTTTTTGTTATGTAATTTTTTGATAAATGCATAGGTTCCCTTCAAGTTAATTAAAAATAATTAAACAAATTATCGTTTTTTTTTTCAAATTTTTGTTATTACCTACCTGATATGAAGCTCGTAGGAAAAATTTTGTTCCTAACACGTGCGCAAAGTGTCTTTTCCGCACGCAAACACGTATCCGAACTCCGCTTCGCGTCGTTCGTATAACTGTGTTTGCGTGCGGAAAAGTAACACTTTGCGCACTTGTTAGGAAAATAACTATTTCCTACAGCCGTGCGGAAAAATCGATTTTCCGCACTGATATGCGTGCGGAAAATTAGTTTTCCCACACGGTGCGGTAAATTTTTTTTTTTGACATATCACTGCGGAAAAAGTTTTTTTCTACTACCGTGCGTAAAGTACTCACTTTACACACTATTTAGAAGACGTAAAATTTCACTTCACGCACTAGTGCGTAAAGTGATTCACTTCACACACTAGTGCGTAAAGTAATGTCAGTGACAAATGTTGACATTGTCAATCTGGCATTTTTCTGGTAAATTACTTCACGCACTAGTGCGTAAAGTGAAAATCCTTCACGCACTAGTGCGTAAAGTATTTGTCGAAATTTTTTTTCTTACACATATTTGATTGGTAGTAGAAAAAATATTGTATGCAATACGTGCGTAAAGCACCTTTTTTCACTCATGTGATTGTCAAAATTCACATTCGTGAAAAAAGGTTCACTTTACACACTTGTTGCATAAATAACTATTCCGCACGGCTGTCAGTGCGGAAAAATTTTTACCGCACTGATATGTCAAAAAAAAAAAGAAAAATTTTACATTTTTTCGCCTGTAGGAAAAATATTGTACCTAACACTTGCGGAAAAATTCATTTTCCGCACTTGTTAGGTAAATAGCTATTTCCTACAGCCGTGCGGAAAAATCAATTTTCCGCACTGATATGCGCGCGGAAAATGAGTTTTCCCGCACGGTGCGGTAAAACTTTTACCGCACGCATATCAGTGCGGAGAAAGTTTTTCCGCACGGCTGTCAGTGCGGAAATTTTTTTACCGCACGGCTGTCAAAAAAAAAGAAAAAATCTATATTTTTACGCCTGTAGGAAATAGTATATTGTGTATTTAGGTGGAGAATGTGCTTTTTCACCGATATACACATACTATTTTTTCTGCGATCGGTTAAATTCCTGTTAAGTATTTGTCTTCAGGTTCCAATTATTCAGCAGTACGAGAATCACTTTCCCGGCCTAGGCCGGAAAAGTGTTTCCCGTATTGTTATTCATTGATTCCTTAGCAACTATTGAAACATAATTGAAATACCAGAATATTGAGTTTTGCGACCTGTCAACCGGTCAAAAATGCTGACATTTCTTGTCAATCGCAGAATAGTATATTTCCTAACTAGTGCGGAAAGTGCTACTTTTCCGCACGCGATTGCAGTTTGCCGTTCGGCAAGCAATCAAGTGCGGAAAAGAGACTTTCCGCACGAGTTGGGAACACTATTTTTTCTACGAGATAGAAGGAACGTACCTACCTAATGTAAATTTTAACACCAATATTTGACAACATTTTTTTTGCAACACCTGTTATTGAGAACAAATCGAGTAATTTTTTCTTAATATAGGTTAGGTACTCTTAAGTATGTACAAATAAAACTTCTACAAATGTCAAAAAATAATGATGTTCGCACAATCATGACAGTTTGCTAAGTGACACTTTTTTCCCAGGTCTGGATTTTTTAACGTTCCCATTACGCCGTGCGCGAACTAGCTATTTCGCACACTAGTGCGCAAAATAGCTAGTTCGCACACTGTTGTCATGGTGACACATACCTGTCAGGAAACCAAAAATAATTAAAATTCACCTACCTTTGATTGAAAATGCAATTTTGGCTTCGAATCATTGATATTTAAAAGGAGTTGTAGAAAAAATATTGTTTGTAACTCGGGCGCGAAATACTTTGGTGATCTCGACTATTTTTTTAACTCGGCTGCGCATCGTTAAAAAACTCAGATCTCGATCACCAAAGTAGCATTTTGCGCACTAGATACAAAATAGTTATTTTTGTATCAAGGGCGCGATAATTATTTTTGATTTCCTAACAGGTATGTGTCACCATGACACCCAGTGTGCGAACTAGCTATTTCGCGCTCACGTGCGCGAAATAGCTAGTTCGCGCACGGCGTCATGGGAACGTTAAAAAATCAATACCTGGGAAAAAAAGTGTCACTTTGCAAACTGTCATGAGTGTGCGAACATCATCATTTTTTGACAGTTGTAGAAAAATAACTATTTTTCGATAATAAAAAAAAATAATTCTGAAATAATGTGCGTTATTCTGAAGGCAATAAAATCAAGAATTTTCAACAATAATTTGTACGTTTGATGTATCTACTATGGAATTTACATTTTTAAGCATAAAGTAACCATTCTATAGTAACTTGACGAGAAAAGTTAAGTTTAAACCGAAATAATTCAATAAATAACATTATTGTTTCAATAATTCTCAATGCTGATTTTTGTGTAAGTGTGTCAGCGGAAAAGTGAAACTTTCTAAACTAAAATGCGTGCGGAAAAGTGCACTTTTCCGCACGCTCGTGGAATTTTTTTTTTTCTGCGATTGACAAGAAATGTCAACATTTTTGACAGGTTGACAGGTCGCAAAACTCAATATTCTGGTATTTCAATTATGTTTCAATATAGTTGCTAAGGAATCGATGAATAACAATACGGAAAATACTTTTCCGGCCTAGGCCGGGAAAGTGATTCTCGTACTGCTGAACAATTTGAACAAAAAGACAAACATTCAACAGATATTTAACCGATCGCAGAAAAAATAGTATGTGTATTTCGGTGGAAAAACACATTCTCGGCCTTCGGTGTTTGGTGAACTTATACTGTCGGCCGAGAATGTGTCACTTTTCCACCTAAATACACAATATACTATTTTTCCGACTTGTGCAAAACTTCTGTTATGGTACCAACAAATATTTTGTATTTGTATTTGTATTATTTTTTTCAGTAGGTACTTCTTTTCCTATTTTTTTTTTTTAAATAATTTTTATTGACAATTCATATTTTTCATTATTATTAGGTGGTATCGCACGTGTCAGATATAGTGAGCAAGGCTCGGGAAGAATGGGAGGTCGAAGCTTCCTCCAGGGCAGGCCAACAGCAAAATTCTAGCGTAGCTGACACCCACCTGCTAGTTGCCGCCGTCGGCATGGGAAAAGGACTGAAGGTAATAATTGGTTTTGCGGTTTTTGTATTTGAATTTAATTTTGTGTCTGGGGCCTACGGCTCGTGGCAATAAACCGTCACACCCGTGTGCAAAGAGCCTTTTTCAAAACTTATTACACAATATACTATTTTCTACTACCGTGCGTAAAGTACTCACTTTACGCACCATTCAAAACACGTAAAATTTCACTTCACGCACTAGTGCGTAAAGTAATTTACTTCACACACTAGTGTGTAAAGTAATGTCACTGACAGATGTTAACACTGTCAATTTAGTATTTTTCTGGTAAATTACTCCACGCACTAGTGCGTAAAGTGAATATACTTTACGCACTAGTGCGTGAAGTATTTGTCTAAGTTAATTTTTTTACACATATTTGATTGGTAGTAGAAAAAAATTTGTATGCAATACGTGCGTAAAGCACCTTTTCTCACTCATGTGATTGATTCTCACCCATGTGATTCACATTCGTGAAAAAAGCGTCACTTTACACACTTGTTGCATAAATAACTATTTTTTAACCAACGTGAAAAAAATTTCTACAACACATAAACTCTTTTCATTTTTTAAAGATAATTCCCCAAGTCAAAAATTTAGTAACTATGTTGACAACACAAGCCTTTTCTACATAAAAAATTTGAAAGCATTGACAATTTTACATTGTATTGCCAACATAATGTCATTTTGACTTTTATCTTTAAAAAAAAAACAGACTTTAAAACGTTTTTGCTTTATGAAATTTTTACTCACCCCCTGCCGTTTTTCAATAGGGGTAGTTTAGAGTTTTTTTATTTTTTTACAAAAAAAAATTCTCGATAAAAGTTTTATAAGAGCTTTGTTTTGGTTCGAAAAAAGGACGGTTCTAGAACGGTTCAAAACAATCGCACAGTTTATCAATCAACAAAATGACAACGGCTCGGCTATCAAAAATTCCAATAATAAACTGTGCGACTGTTTTGGACCGTTCTAGAACCGTCCTTTTTTCGAACCAAAACAAAGCTAAGATTTCAAAGAAAAGTTGTTAAATAATAAAATTAACAAGTTTTCTTAATAAAAAAAATTTTAAAGTTGAAAATAGGCGAACTACCCCTAAAAACAAATAGTAGAGGATCCGTATTAGAGAGGTTCTGCACCCATCTGTTTAATAGATAAAAAGTATTTTATATCAAATTAAGTATTTTAAAAAAAAAATATCATGAGTGGGTTGGCTAAGAAATTCTTGGCCAGACTGTGATTAATAAATAATTCAAAAATTATAATTTGTAAAGACACTGCACTCATTTGTTTAACGAACAAATTTTATACTGATCGAAAGCATAAGGCCTACAGAATATAGAAAAGTTGGGTTGTCTATTTTTTTCCTGGCATAACTATTGAGTTGGCAGGTTTGAACAGGTGAGTCGATACTAGTAATTTACACCCATCTGTTTAATATATAAATCTTACATCAAAATAAACGTTTTTTTTTATTGATAACCTATTTTACTTATTTAAAGTACTCCTCAGCGTGTTTAAATCCAACATTCAAAAACGCGCGTGTTTTAAAGTTATCATGACAACATCAACAACCCAAGAAAGGTAAAGTCTAAATGTCAACTTTTTAGTGATTTGTCAGGAGTAGGTACTTGTAGATAACCTCAAATAAAATATAACAAGCGCTAAGCACGAATTCAGCATTCTACAATTACTAGTAGTTCATGATTTGAACGTATACCAATAAAAAAAAAATAGTGTAAAGTATTCGTGGATAACTGGTCTTTAAAACACTTGCTCTATTTCGAGCACTCCGGCTGCGCCGTCGTGCTCGAAAAATCGCGTGTGTTTTAAAGACCTTAATATCCACTTATACTTTAATATACTATATTTCATTGCGAACACAATGATATAGTACAGTAAACATAGCAGCTTATAATGGGCCGACCTTGAACCAATTAGAGACAAGCTAGTTTTGGCTAAAATGGACACATAATGACTAGTAGTATAACATACTAAAAGTCCCATTTGGTAGGATTTTGCCAGTAGGAAAAAAATGGCCGCCATCTTGAATTTTTCTGTTTTTATGTCAATACCTCAGTAAATTGAGCCTCTATGAAAAAATATCGACGTTTTTTGTTGAGCAGTGAAAAATACATAATGTGCACCTATTTTTTTTCATAACCTAATAGTTATTTATTATACAAGGGAAAAAAGTACTAGATTTTAGCGCGAGGTGTGATTTGAGGACTTTGAGGTGTGGTTTGACAACACAGCAAACGCTAAAATCTTACTTTTTTCCCATCTATAATACACTATTTTTCTCTGTGACTGAAAATCTCACTCTTTTTCCATCTATACACTATTTTTTTTTCTGTGATCGTACTTGCTACTTATTTCACTTTGAGAAAAAAATGGCCTGGTACCTGTTACTTTTTTCCCTTGGAAAAAAAAACTGACTGGTTGGTACCCATTACTTTTTTCCGTTGCGAAAAAAAATCACTCTTTTCCCATGAGAGAAAAAGTGGCATTTTTGTCCCTGTCAAAAGGTACAAAAAGTCTACTTTTTTCCCGTCACAGAAAAAATTAATTTTTCCTATTTCAAAAATCCGTGAACATTCAAATTTCACAAATCTTAGTACCATCGTCACCAAAAGTATCTGGGACAAAAATGATTCATAGATTCATATTAATCTCCTAGACTAATTCTACCATCATTCATTTTAATGCAATTAATTCATAGTTTGACAAATATTTGACACTAAAATTCATGATACTTATGATAGTACAAGAGCTAATATGATGCTGTCTCAGTTACTTTTGCTGATGATGGTATACAGAGTACAGGGTTAGTAAAAAGTACTGCAACACTGAAATAACCTCAAAACTGCTTAAGCCGCGTTGACACAATTCGGATTCTGACAGTTTTTGGATATGCGGAATTCAACAGTGATATTGGCAATGTTGCCAGATTTCGCAGTTTTGCGCTACACGTAGTCTTTTTGTTATCTTAAAGAGAATGTCCCATTTATTTTTATTACAATAAATTGGGAGTGCCAAATTTGATAAGATTCCAAACTTTCAGAATTTTATCGCTGCTAGTTGCTGAAATATGACAAGACCGTATTTTCGGTGAAAAGTATAGCAACGCTTGAATATCTTCGAACGCCGCTTAAGTACGTTCACGAAATTTGGTATCTGGGGGTTTTTGGGCAAGCGAAATTCAACCGTGATATCGGCATTGTTGCCAGACTTCCCAGTTTTGCACTAAACGTAGTATTTTTATTGTCTTGAATAGAATGCCCCATTTACTTTTATTGCAATAAATTGGACGTGCCAAATTTAATAAGATTCCAAATTTTCAGAATTCTATCTCTTACTAGTTGCTGAAATATGCCAACACCGCATTTTCAGTGCACGGTATCGCTGTGATATCGTCATTGTTGCCAAGTTTCCCAGTTTCGCCCTACAGGTAGTTTTTAAGTTATCATAAATAAAATGCCCCATTTATTTTTATTGCAATGAATTGGTCCAAATTTTAATGAGACTCCAAATTTTCAATATGCTTCTTTTACTGTTAGATACTACTATAGTGAGAATCATTCTGGGATAGTTACCGGACCGAAAGAGACAAACAGAAAACGATGCAAACCTTCCTACATATTTCAGGAGGAGCCGCAAACTTATCGGAAACGCCCGGAAATATAAATACCTCATTTATAAGTAATGGGTGGAGAAAGAATAATTCTGAAAATTTGGAATCTTATCAAATTTGACAGGTCCAATTTATTGCTATAAAAATAAATGGGGCATTCTATCCAAGATAACAATGCGTAGTGCAAAACTGGGAAATCTGACAACAATGCCGATATCACGGTAGAATTTCGCTTGCTCAAAAACCCCTAGATACCAAATTTCGTGAACATGCTCAAGCGGCGTTTGAAGATATTAAACTGCTGCGATATTTTTCACCGAAAATACGGTGTTGTCATATTTCAACAACTAGTAGAGATAGAATTCTGGAAATTTGTAGTCTTATCAAATTTGGCAACCCCAATTTATTGCAATAAAAATAACTGGCGCATTTTATTTAAGATAACAAAAAGACTAGGTACGTGTAGCTTGAGATGTAAGTTTTCATGAAATTTTCAAATTTGAAACTTTTCGTGAAACTTTTCATGAAAAGTTGAAACTTTTCAATTTTTTTTTGAAAAGTTAAGTACAGGAAGAAAAGGGGCCTCTAAAATTATTTTTTAGAAATTATAGGTATTCAATAAATTGAATTGACGACTAATATAATTTTTATCAATTATTCCTTTCCATTAAATCACAATATTGCGGTTGAGGATTGCGGTAATAAAAAAAATTGCGTAATAGTGAAAAAATCTGTTTTTCTATGACCATCAAAAAATAAACAACTTTTGTCATATTTTACCTTAGCCGAAAACGTCATTTTCGTCACTAGTGATGAAATATCCCATAACGTTAACTTTCCTCACTAGTGACGCAAGTGAATGATTAAAATTTTACATGTTAAATACATTTTTTCAAATCCAATTATATTTCAATTCTGTGGAGCACAATGAAAAAACATAGTTCATAACAAAATTATGTAAATTTTCGTGATATATGTATATAACGTCTCTAAATAGTCGTGTATGTGCTAGCTCACTATTAGTGTATAGTTAGATTAACAATGGGTTTTTTGTGACTAGAGTACCATTCCTTTGGGTACGGAGAATTGAATATTTTCAGTAATAAATAGACCATCACTCAAATGACTGTGTTTCATTTATAGTATATTACAATTTTGCTTTATATAATGTAATAAAAGCAAAATATAAGTATAAAATTAATTAAAAACGAGCACTTTTCATAGATGGCGCCAGCTATCAAGCCAAGTAGGAACCCTTGTAAAAAAACATAAGTTTAACAGCAAAAATCAAAACATGGTCTTAGAAAAAGTATAGTGTTTTACTTGTCAAAAATCATTTTTTACAACTTGAAAACAACTGTTTTCTTGTTGC